GACGTTTCTTCATTTATTAGAATTTTCAACACCATTAACTTTTTCATAATTATTTTTCCCCAATTCTTTTGTAGTTTCGCCATATCAATGGCAGTCGTACGTTGAACACAGAATATTCTTTATTATTTTGTTAAAACGTTTTAGATATTTCTGTGGCTGCCAAAAGAAATCTCAGGGTTTATTTAATTTCCTTAATTTGTTACAATTACAAATACGAAAATTTTCCATTTTATTTTTGGGGAGAAAGAAGAGTATAATGCCACCTGTCATTTCCATATCTGGCACGTAGGTTTTTCTCATACGCATATACACAGTGCCTAAGGCGGCTTCTTTGTTCGATTCTCCAACAACTTAGGGTAATAATTCGAGAACCAAAAGAATCATGCTTTGGATCAAAAACCTCGTAAGGTTCTCTCCGACAACTTCGTCGGTCGGAAACTTGTTCAGAAACCCAGAATCCGGCTACACTCTCACCTCTCGTTTCTGTACGGCTCTGCAACAGAGCGAACCGGTTCAAGCAGCGACGGAGGTGGTTAATGGGTTGGAGCCACATCGTTACGATGGTTTGGCTCCGACTAAACAAGGAGAGAAACCGAGAGTGTTGGTTCTCGGGTCGGGTTGGGCGGGTTGTCGTCTTATGAAAGGGATCGATACGCGTATTTACGACGTCGTTTGTGTCTCTCCGAGGAACCATATGGTTTTTACTCCTCTCTTGGCTTCTACTTGTGTTGGTACGCTTGAGTTTAGATCTGTTGCAGAGCCAATCTCTCGTATTCAACCAGCGATTTCGAGAGAACCTGGTTCTTATTACTTCATGGCTAATTGCTCAAAACTTGATTCTGAAAATCATGAGGTAATTGCTAAATTTCAAGTTATTTTAGCTTAATCGTTTTCTGGGCTTTTCGTTTCTATATTTTAAATTGGATTTATGGTAATGGTGTTGTTCTTGAAATTTGAGAAAAGTCTACATTTTTTTTTGAATAAATTATTTTTAAAATAGGTAACAAAAGTTTGCTTAAAATAGCTAATATGGTGGTTTATTTGGGAATATAAATACACAAACAATTAGTAGAAGTAATGTGAAATCTTGTATATATGTGTTTGTGAAAGCAATGTAAGTGGTTTTGACTTTGTGTTATATCAAATGTGTGTGTTATAAACAGGTGCATTGTGAGACTGTTACTGATGGATTAAGCACATTGAAGCCATGGAAGTTCAAGATTGCTTATGATAAATTGGTACTAGCTTGTGGAGCAGAAGCATCCACATTTGGAATCAATGGCGTTTTAGAGAACGCAATCTTCCTCCGTGAGGTTCATCATGCTCAAGAAATCCGTAGGAAGCTTCTTCTTAACCTCATGCTCTCTGAAGTTCCAGGTAACAACAACACATTCTTAAGACACTTTGTTAACTTTTGATATGAAAACTATTCTCATTACGCGCAAATTACATGAATGCAATCAATTAGGCATATCTGAGGATGAGAAGAAGAGGTTGTTGCATTGCGTTGTGGTTGGAGGTGGACCGACTGGTGTCGAGTTTAGCGGTGAATTGAGTGATTTCATCATGAAAGATGTTCGTCAGAGATATGCTCATGTCAAAGACGATATTCGTGTTACTTTGATCGAGGTTTTTTTCTTTGTTTATGAGCTTATATAGGATCAGTTTCATAAAATGTGATTTTGACCAGTATTGTTTCTTTCCAGGCAAGGGACATACTTTCTTCTTTCGATGATCGGCTCAGACACTATGCAATCAAGCAGTTAAACAAGGTTATTATAGCTCATCCGATGAAACTGAAATGCCAATCTTTGCTTTAATCTGAGAGAATTTTGATATTTTGATGTTGACTTCAGTCTGGAGTGAAGCTTGTGCGTGGGATTGTGAAAGAAGTGAAGCCTCAGAAGCTAATCCTTGATGATGGAACCGAAGTTCCTTACGGTCTCTTAGTCTGGTCAACTGGTGTTGGTCCATCTTCATTTGTGAGGTCTCTTGATTTTCCTAAAGATTCTGGTGGAAGGTCAGTAATTCTAACATCACAACAAAAGTTGTTCTGTTTTTTTCCTTATATTCCACAAAAGTCGATGTTCAAACAGTTTCTGATCTTGGATCATTCTGTTTCCTATAAAGGATTGGAATCGATGAGTGGATGCGTGTACCTTCTGCACAAGATGTGTTTGCAATTGGTGATTGTAGCGGTTATCTTGAGAGCACAGGGAAATCAACACTTCCTGCTCTTGCACAGGTCTCTCTCATCAATCAAATATGAATGGTCCATTTATACTTTTGTTCTGCAGATTAGTAATTTGAACAAATTTCTGATCAATGAAGGTGGCTGAGAGAGAAGGCAAATACTTGGCGAATCTACTGAACGTGATGGGAAAAGCTGGAGGAGGAAGAGCTTTCACCGCTAAGGAAATGGAACTTGGAGCACCATTTGTGTATAAGCATTTGGGAAGTATGGCTACTATTGGAAGATACAAAGCTCTTGTTGATCTCCGTGAGAGTAAGGTATGTAAAAAAATCAATCTCTCACTCAAAATCCTTCACAATCCCTCAAAAACACATAGATAGCTAATTCGACGGGATTTTCTTGGACAGGAAGGAAAAGGGATATCAATGGCGGGTTTTGTGAGCTGGTTCATATGGAGGTCTGCCTATCTTACTCGAGTTGTCAGCTGGAGAAACCGCTTCTATGTCGCTATCAATTGGCTCACCACGTTCGTCTTCGGCCGCGACATTAGCCGAATCTGATCAAAATCCTCCCCTTGTCTACGTACTTTCCTCTCTATCTCACTCTCGTCCACTTTATAACCCCTTATCAGCTAAAACGATTTCGTTTCCCAGAGCAACTCAATGAGGTCAATTCAACCTTTACAAAGACAGGCTTTTTGGCTTTTGAATGAAAGGTTCTGGTTTGACTGATATTTTTGAAAAGGGTTTTATGCAAATAAACCCTCTAAGTGGTTAGGATTTGCAAAAAAACCCTTCAAGTAAATTAAATGCAGGTCAACCATCCAAATACTGGTCAATCCGCTATATAACCTTTGGCCGTGTATAGATTTTTTTATCTGTATATACCCGTGTATAACTAATCAAAACTACGTCGTTTTGGTCACTAAAAAAAATAAGGCATAAAAGGAGAATCAAACTCAGGATTTCCATGACAATTGGGCTAACGTTTTGCAAGAACTTTATTTAACATTCAAACAAATATATATATTAACCTCCGTGATACGAATCTATATGCTAAAAACACCAACATCGTATCTCCTTCCTCCGATTATTCCTCCGACGACCAGCGCAAATCAAATCAATAAGTAGAGATATTCGATTTTTCCAAACAAACATGAAACCCAGGCTGATTTTCGTTTGTAAATATTTATCTCAAAATCTAATTATTTGCCCAAACGGAGATTTACATGGATTGCTCTAGAAACAACGAACTTGATTTAGATCTGAAACCTGAACCTGAACGACTCGTTTTGTGGAGATGTGTAATCACCGATTATCAATTTCTCCGCTGAATGACTCGTTGCTTTAGAGTATCTCCACGCTCTCGACATCATTTATTTAGATCTGAAACCTGAACGATTTCGATCTCTGTCTCAAAGCCGATGTTGTTCCAGCTTTCCGATCTACACAGTTCCAACGAAATTCGTCTTCTCCGTCATGCTTTCCGAAGAAGTGAAGGTTTTGCAGAAGTAAAAATGGCGATTGCATCTTCTTCTAAGAGAAAGTCATTCCGTTTAATAAGATTATAAACAAATGTGATTTATAATTTATTAAATAGCTCAATTAGTTTAGTGGTTTGTTGTTAATCAATAAGGTCGAGGGTTCGAGTCTTCCTTATGATTTATTTAGGTTTTTGATTTTTTAAAAATATACAAAACGACGTAGTTTTGATTACTTATACACGGGTATATACAGATAAAAAATCTATAGATGGCCAAGGGTTATATAGCGAATTGACCAGTATTTGGAAGGTTGACCTGCATTTAATGTACTTGAAGGGCTTTTTTGCAAATTATAACTACTAGGAGGGTTTATTTGCAGAAAATCTTTTTGAAAAAAAAAAAGTATCAATAATTCAGTTTCATACTTCCTATATATCAATAAACATAATATACAACTCAGATACAGAGAAGATAGTGTAGTGTAGATATATTCTGAAGTTGGGAAAAAGGAGTTTACAACAAAATTAGGAGAGATACCTAAAACACAAAATGCCAAAAATGTTGTGGCAAATTGGTAACTCCTAAACAAACTTATGTACCAAGTGATAGCTCATCTAGCAGTAAACTCTATTATACATTTTAATTTACAAGCCAAAAAAAAAACTCCAATCCAGGCCTGTGATGACAAAACAATCAAGGATTATAACTATTTATTACCTCATTTATATTTCCGTAATCACATCACATCAACCTTCTCCGGCAACTGTACTCCGGCAGCTAAATCTCTAGATGCAACCAGTTTCACGGCGAATGTAGGATTTGAACCGTACTTCTGCCTTGCTTCAGCAAAGCTCGGACCAAGAACGGTTTGCATCCATTGATCAACCGTTTTCTCTTCTTTGCCTGATGATAATGATGACCAAGAAGCCGCCAGAATCTGAACGATTACTTCACTATCTATTTCTAGATGCGTTTCCGATCCAAAGCATTGCTTAAAATGTGAAACAATGTTCTCCTGAATGGTCTTGGCTAGCCCATCGAAATCAACCGGTTTAAACGTCACTTTTCCGTCTACTTGTTTGATGAAATCATCAAACCAAGCTTTTGCGTCCTCTGTTTCATGATCGAAGTCAACTTCTGTCTCATTCACTGGAAGATTCAGATCGAGATATGAGCGTTGCGTCTTCTCTGCACGTTGCTCTGTTTCTGGCTCATGTTTTCTCTTATTTACCCCAATTTTAGGGACATCGGCTAACTTTATCTGCAGATTCCATCTTCTTGCATTGAGAACTCTTTCCTCGGAAAACGTCACAGGTTCAGTAACTTGATCATTGTCCTTGCCAATGCCAGAAGTCGCAACAACAATCACATATTTCGTACTGATCACTCTTCCATGCGAATCACGGAGTTTCCCAGTACTCACAGCTTCAGACAATCTGACCTGATCCGGGAACTCGGCTTTTTCCACGTTTTCGAGTAAAACAACAGAGTGTGGTTTCCTTGATAATTCACCAGTTATGTAATCAACCACTGTTTTACCTCTGAATTTGTCATCAATATAACAGTGCTCTGCCCCGAAATCCACACAGATGCAGTTGACCTGGCCACCAAAGAAGCCTTCAGAAAGAGCCGACGCTACTTTCTTCTTCCCAACTCTATCTGGTCCAAGAAGAGCCAGCCAAATACCACTTGTGCGGTTTCTTCTTGTGGAGTCGCTTGTGCATTCACAGATAATTTGGCTAATGGCGTTCACAGCTTCCGACTGCCAGGCAACTTTACTAGAAAGTAATTCTCTGAGAGACTTGAAATCTTTCCGATATTTATGTTCTGAAGAAGAGTTTACAGTCACCAGCAGCGGTTTCTCTCTCAGTGTGTTTGATTCCTGCCTTTTTGATGCATAGATTACTCCCAACCCTAAATCTGTAGTAACACAGCTCAAAGGCGGACTCGCCATGCGGTTAGTCACCGAAGTCGTGACATCCTCCATAAGCTTTGGCGTTGAGATTGTCGGATTCGGCAGTTTACGTGTCTCCAGAAAGCTTTCAGGAGTTCTGCTGGGAAATCCGGGACTAGTTTGCTCGGTTGAGCTTCTCACATTCTTCTCGGTCTGAACTGGGAATTGCGGACTCACGGACTGAAAACCGAGTTTAGGAAACGCCGGAGTTTGATGGATACTTTGGCATATGTTGTCCCATTTCTTTTGCAGAGCTGCAGTTTGAGAAGCCAATGCGTTTGGGTCATCTATAGCCTGCACTGAATAAGAACCAAAATCTCTCTCAAGATAATGCATTTACACAATTAGAAGACATTGCAATTGAAGAAGTTGATAAAAATGCACCTTACTACTTCCCGTTGTTCCCTTGTCTAACTCTGTCTCTGCAGCCCGCAACCAAGAAGGTAACTTCTCGGAGCATTGATCAGCCAGAGAAAGACTCGAACCGGCCTTTACAACAGCGGCTACTTCTTGCAAGTACTTCTCGTTGCAGAGGTGACATCGAGGGAGCGTCTGATTCGTTGTACCACTTAACGGTACTCGGAAATCTGATGTAGACGAAAAGAACCCTCCAAACGGAACAAAGGATCCCATCAAGCTGGAAACAACAGACTCATACTCAATATTTAGGAACTTGTCAAGTTGCAAAAACTCGAATCATGGTTTTCAACTAAGACAAAACATCAAGCTCCGGAGGGAAATATAAAATGTCTACTTCCAGAAAAATGGGAAGTATAAAGCTGAGAAAGAAGTGCCATGATAGTGGATATGTTAAAATATTTGAGTTTATGTGACATTGACCCAAACAATAAACTATTACCACCAAATATAGTGATGTTTCAAGTTTCAAGAGATTATATAAGAACTAAAGCATACCTTGATTTTGGATAAACCCCTTGACCGGAGGGTTTAGAGGATGTGATTGGAACAACATGAAGGTCCCAATCCTTATCAATCGTAGGAAACCGATCCAGAAGCTTCGTGTACGTCTCGTTGCTCGATACACATCCGATTAACCATAGTTTCTTACTTTGATGTTTCAGCAAATCCGAGAGCTTCGACACCAAATTCTCCAAAGCATTACTCTTTCCACCAGAAGCAGCTTCATTGGTTAAGACCTTCAACTCTCCCAGATTAAGCACAACCCCTGGTTTCGAGCCATTTTGCTCTGTGATTCTAACTAAATCATCACGTCTCACTCGAATCTCTTCTTCAGTTCTTGATCCATCAGCTAAAATCTCACTAATCTCTTTCTCTATGCTAACTACGCTTAACTCGCTAATCTCCGGAGGAAGAAACCCTAGCTTCCCACTGTTGATCGAATCCGTGAATGTTATAAGAGCTTCATTAGCGCAATTACCAACAAGTAGAGGGTTCTTCTTCTCTTTTCGACCTAATACTTCTCCAATTCTCCGAGAATTCTCATCAAAACCACTACTCCCACCAAACGGGAACGCACGATTTGGATCTGAGCTCGGAAGATTACAGAGGAAGAGAGGAGGACAACGAGCTCGTGAGAAACGGGAAGAGAATTGCGTTACCGGAGGGTGAAGCACGTCGAGCTTAATATCGGAGCTCCGAAACCCTGCTTCGCCGAAGACCCGATTCACAATCGGATCGTCAAGGATCGATAAAATGAAATACTTCAACTCAACCTTCAAAACCGTCGTCTGGCACCCACCACCGCCGCTACTAGCGTGGATCTGCTGGAGATGATAAGTCTCCGGATGCCGTCTCTGATTCGCCTGCGACCGCTTAATCGCCGCCATAAGCGAATTCGAAACCGGTGGATCTTCTTCCGCCGCCGTAGAAGACTTCGACGACGGAAGCCTATCGAGTGAAACGCCGACGCAAAGCTCCAGAGCTCGAAACTGAAGACGCGAGGAGTAAGGAATACTCCGAGCAGCGCGTGAGACGCAAACCTCCCGGAGAATCGACGACGGCATCGCTAGAAGAGCAGAAACCGCGTGAAGCGACGTCGTTTGCGCGTGACTCCTCCTACGAGCAACCGCCACAGCATCGTCGAGGGCACGTGCAGCTTCCTCCGTTAAGCATTCTCTCGCCGTATTCACCGGCGTTGGCATCGCCGGTAAAATCCAAAATCAAAATAGAAAAAAAAATCACCACAAGCCCCCCCCCCCTTCTCCAATCAAACCAACCCACTTACTCCCACC